TACCAAAATATATGTCCGGGTACAGCGGGCTCCAGAGGTTGAGCCACCCGAGACGAAAGATGAGCTGGGCCACTTCCGAATCCGAGAGCGTCCACAACACTTGGACATAATTGTACAAATCCAGCGTTCGATCAAAGAGGGTCAGCGCCTACGCCCATATTGACACACCCTTCACCGTGTGCGAAGGCGTACAGCATCGACGCGCGTCGTGCCGAAATCCATTGGCCAGCGCTCGAGGATGAAGCGGACTTGGCTCGTCGTGACCCACCGCGTGCAAAAGAGTGCTTGGAGCTCCATGAGCAGTCGACGACCTGTAAAGCTAATCTACTCCCGAAAAATATCAAACACCAGTTGTCTCGGTCGCTCGGTTTGCAACGTACCTGGCTTGGCGCTTCCGGTGACACGACCGCGCCAGGAATCACAAGTGGCGTCGACACATCGCGCGACTATGGATCGTGCACTTTTGGTTTTTTGAAAAGCAACAAAAAACACGTGTACGTAGAGGTCCGAGACGCGGACATTGTCCGACTGCAGCTCGAGCAGAAAATCATACGCAAGCGGACTGAGCCGGCGACTGATTGTCGCGGGAGTGGGTTGCCGACGGCGCTTTTCGGGTGTTGCGTTGTCCAGTGCATCCAAACACAGCTTTGTGATGAGCTGTTGAAAGCGGTTTTCCGACATGGGTAGAATTCCTAGATCGTGTAACTAAACCAGAGTATGTTTATCGGGTCGTGTACCCGACTTGGGGCGCGACAACTGGACAAAATCAAAGTCGAGCGTGCCGAATTTGGGCAACTTGTCACAAAACGTCGACGTGATCTCGATCTTTTTGTTGTTGTAGATTTCGTTGCGGAACCCCATGTGGTTCTCGTGCTGACTCGTGTCCTTGAAGTTGTTGGTGCGCCGGTAATACATGATTTTGTTGTTGATCTCCATGACCTACACCACACAATTTTACATTTTGAAAAATGGCAAAAAATACTTTTCGAAACGTGGCGCGATCAATGTCGTCGGCGAGGTCGAGCGAGTAATGGCCCGTGGCCAAGCCCACGACGGGGCCGTACCTAATTCAGCTATCTCAACCATTTTTTGTGATCAAAACGTCGACGCACATGTCTTTGAGTACGGTCTGCAGCCGCAAGCGCTGGGCCGCATTCACATTGGATTCGATCAGTGGGCACGCATGGTTGGGATCGACCTACTTGGAGTTGAAAGCAAAAAGAAGCAGACGATGAAGCGTCATACGACGTGGGGAAGGATGAGCGCGAGGGCTTGGACAATGTCCATTTTGGACACGAGCGTGTCCAGAAGCATTTGACCTTCGTTCTGACGCACGTGCAGGCCATCTAGCACCATTGTTTCAATATATCAACTTGAAGCATTGGATACTTTTGGCCAATTTGATCAAATTCACTTGGTTCGGGTCGGCTTTGATGTTTTCAATGAGCTGCTGGACACCGAGCTTGGACTCGGCTTCGTCGGCCTCGGACGGGATGTGCAGATCGATAAAGTCGATCTGCGTGCACCGAAAAATAAGAAATGAGTCGTGAAAAGCGCAGTCTGTATGTACCTTGAGCCGACCGTCCTTGGGAATTGCGAGGGGTAAACCCGACGTCGTGTCGATCCACTCCATCGTCGGCTTGTCGTCAAAGTAATATTGCGACATGAGATCGACGAATTCCGGAAATTCCATCGTGCCCGTGCCGTCCACATCATAGCGCGTTACGAGACTAGGCGAGCGCTTTGTGAGCCGTGTCTCATACACAAACATAGAATACCGGGCGGCCTCCCCCGGCTGCAAGCGAACGCCCAAGGTGGCCATGCCACGCTCGAGCTCCGTGGCTTCAATGTTGCCAGAATTATCCGCGTCAAGGGTCCTACTCGCGTCCATCGCATTCCAACTAAGTGTCGGTGACGCACCGAAAGAGCTTTTCCAGCTTGTCTTGGGGCACCTTGCCACGAAGCACCATGTGGGACGAAGACCGTCGAATGAGCTGTGCGCGCGCGCGCCCGACTTCTTGGTACTCGACCTTGAGATCGCGCGTGGTCTACTCCCACATGGAAAATGCGCTCGGAACGATACCGACAACCTTGTCCACTTGGTGCAGAAAGGACAGGAAACGACAACCTTTCTTCGAGTTGGCAAATCGCAAGAGCTCGCAAGCGATCGCGCGATCGTACGGCTCGGCCATGTCCAAGTCGTACTTTCCCTAGCGTTCACATGCAATGCCAATGTGTTCATGGGGTTGGTCACTGCGTACTGTCGCGTCTTGCGGGTCAAAGAGACTCGAGTCGTCAATGTCAAAATTGCACCTGGCGTGTGCACCCGATGAGGAGGATTGTGTTGCGTGATTCAAGCGCACCCGACGACAGAGACCGAGAGGACTTTGTCACTGGCACTCGAGATGGCCTGCAGAAGCGTGCGTCCCCCAATGCGGCCTAGTATGGCGTCGTTTCCATGCGGACGTTGAACACTACTTGTGTAAAACTATACCAAGAGGATTCCCGTCCATGCAAAGTTGCGTCAACGTGCTGTTGATGTGGAGGGCTTGGGCAATCACAAATGCTGCCTTGCTAGGAATGTTGTTTTGAGACAAGTCGAGCTTCTCGAGCGTGAAGTTTTCTTGGAGCGCGCAGCCTACGACATTATGTAGCCATAGCATGTTAGTGTCGATCGATAGACATATGGTTGGTGCATCGAGCACCGTACCGATGGCTTGGGCGCCGAGGTTCCCAAACGCATTGTAGCTCAGGTTGAGTTCTTTTAGCCCTTCTCCGAACGATCAAAGACCTCGCCGATTCGGGACTCGAGAGGTACCATAATTGTGGCCAATCGCCCGGCCAAGTTGGATCGCGCTGTTGAGACGCAGAACGTTCCAGGATAGATCGAGCTTGGTGAGGTGACTACAGCGTGGTTACCATGAAAAAATCCATGGAAGTGGCACGTGTACTTGTT